ACTTTGGCTTGGGACTTTTGTTGACCTTGTTATCTACTATATGTTTGCTTAACTTTTTCAAAGTTGATTTAATTCAGAAATCTCTTTTTTAGGATGGGAGAGCCCTCTAGTTAGTGGTTCTCTAATGATGGAAAAATGTTCTGTTGCTAAAAATAGTGGTTTTGGACATAAATGTGGTTTTGGACATAAATGCTAAAAACAAAAATATAGACCATACATTTTCTTATTTGTATGCTGTAATTAAATCTAGATTAGACATGTGGCTTATAAAAGAATTTGTGTATTGTCCCTAATATAGTTTATTTCAGACTCTCTAGTTGCAGCCAATGTGAAATAGATGTATTCTGTCTGCAGTAGGTGTTTCTAGAACTGACAACAAGCAAAAGAAAACATGTAGACAACTATGTAAAGCATAAATGTGTATCACAGGACCAGTTATCTCAGGGAGCAGGCTGAGCAGAAGTAGGCTACTTTGAGAGGTGCAGGTTTCTTCTCTAGTATTACATTTTTAAACTGAGATAATATAAAATTTCAAAATATAAAACTAAAAAACACAAAAAACACATGGACAATTACCTTGCCTACTAAAATTCTAAGTGAACATATGCTAAGGCACTTTACACAAAATGAAGGCAAGAAGGATCTCCAAAACTGGAGTATTTATTTCTCATAAAGTGGAACAAACAAGCCTTCTCTGTCATAAGCTTGGACACTTTGAGCAGTAAGCATCTGACTTCAGACTTGTGGATTGAGGCAAGTTATGTGACAAGTTCATAGACTAGAAGTGATGAAAGATTTAGCAGATATTGACCTCATGAAATTGGAGGCCCTGCATTGACATCACCTCCCCCTTGACCCCGCCACCCTCCCAGACAACCTTCCAGACCTCCTGTGTGATCTGGAAGGTTCCTCTGCAGCCTGCTTCTGATTCCAGACATATGTAATAACACCAGAAAAGCAGCTTCCAGTCTATATTACTATAAAACTACCTCCTTTCACTATTCCCATTAGAATAGTGAACGACTCTTCATATATGTTGCATCATTCAGCCTGCATTACAAAAATGTTTATAAACAGCTATTTTCTCTGTGTGCTACTATTAACTCAGTGCCCCATGGCAAGCAGCACGGTAAGTACTGACATGCACAGAGGTATTAATCTGACTAAATTAGCCTAATTAAGAGTGTTATTAAGTTTTATATAAACCAGATGCATATAACTCAGCAGGTTGCAATTACCCTAGTTTTTAAAATAACATCTGCATTAAAATACAAAAAACACCTTCAGATAATAATTTTCCTTAAAACCATGGAAATTTCAAGTTAGTATTAATGTTCTATCCTGTTGAACAGCGGTAGAATATATGCAGTGGTTTATTCTTAATAGCTTCATTTATGAAAATAGCCTCCTGTTAGGAGTAATAAATTACCTAAGGCACAAAAATACCGCTGAGTACAGACGATGGATTCAGATATTCAAGTATATGACTGTACCTGCAAATATGGTAAACCTGTAACTACCAATATTTTTGCCAACAGTTAATTAGGTTCACAATTATATTCAGGAACAAAAATGAAGGTATAAATAGGTTGTTGGTATTAAGCCAGCCTCTAGCTATATTTTAATGGAAGTCTTGTAATAGGAAGAAATTTTAGTAATTGTCTGGTAATTTTCAGTGTGTAAAGAATATCAGTTTTCAAAGATGAACCATATAGACTGTGCTGAACTATAAGTATGATCACACTGTAGCTACGATTTCCAGGAAATCTGTCACCGATGTTGCTACTTTAATAATTGTTGACTTATTTGTAAACAAGATGTGATGTTTGTCTGGCAGTTTAATACCACTGAAGCCTGGGCTACTTCAACTTTGCTCTTCCTACAGCCATACCTTTCAGCCCTTCTCTTCAAGCAGCATTTGTGCTTGTGTGACAGCACAGAGAGTTAGTTATGGGAAGAGGTATTTTTACTGAAGTTATAAAGGAAAAGGGTGATTAATTTAGGAGTGTGAGGTAAGTGAGGATGCAAATGTTCTCTGAGTAGCAGGCAGAAAAGGCTGGCTGACTCTGAAGGCGGACAGGTTAAAAAGAAAAATGGGGAAGAAAAAAAGAAAGCAAAAAGAAATAGGAGATGAAATGTTAGAGTACAAAGTGGGAAGTCTCGTGTAATTTCTGTTACGGGAACTATGGGCTTCATCAGCTGGAAATGAGAGATTTGCATGATACATATTAGAAGTTATTTTGACTACCAAGGAAAAAAATATGATCAAAGAGCATATATATTAAATGAGGTATTTTTCAGCCACAATAATGAATATAAAATCATTTCTTGAGGAACTAGTAAACTCTCCTCTAACAAGCTGTGCCCATGTTTCCAGTCATGATCAGAAGGACTCAGATCATTGGATGCACACAAGGAAACTTATTCTGTGAGGGGAAACTTGGACAACAAAGTAGAGGTTCAGAAAGGTTGTAGTTGTTGCCTATGAATACCTTCAAGCTTACACAGCAGAAAACAAAAAACTTCTCTAACCTAGCAGTGATACTGATACAGAATAATGGGTATACCGTGAATACCTTAATACCAAGAAAGCAGAAGGTTTTTAATGGTCACAGTAAAACATTTCAGGAAAGATCTCAGTGGGAACACAAGAAAATCAGTCTAAAGTTTTTTTTTTAAAAAAAAATCTTTTTTTAATTGGAGTTGAATAGAATTCTTTCTACTGGACAAGCAGCCAGAAACAAGGAGTGCTCTATGTTTCTAATAGGGGAAGGTGTCTTGATAGCACAAACATAGGTGATATTTTCCAGCTGTTGTCTGTTATCTGCACAAATTCAGTTCTGTTAGTGTGTGTGTATTGAAACCCTTTGACTGTTTGTCACATCTAATAAGTAAAGCATTTATTAGTCATGAAGTAAGATGAGGATGCTTAAGACCTGGAGAAACCCATGCACACTTATAGAATCCTTAAGGTTGGAAGGGACCTCTAAGGATCATCTTGTCCAACTCCCCTGCACACGCAGGGTCAGCAAAAGCATGTGGTAAAGGGTCACGTCCAAGCAGGTTTTGAAGATGTCCAGAGAATGAGACTGCACAGCCTCTCTTGGCAATCTGTTCCAGTGCTCTTTCAGCCTCACTGTGAAGAGACTTTTCTCTTAAGTTTCTGTGGAACTTTTGGTGTATCAGTTTGTGGCTATTTCCTCTAGTTCTATCAGTGGTCACCAGGGAGAAGAGGCCACCCCCATCCTCCTCACTCCCTCCCTTGAGGGTAAGGTCTGATTAAATCCCCTCTCAGCCTTCTCTTCTCCAGGCTGAACAGGCCCAGCTCCCTCAGCCTCTCCTCATAGGGCAGATGTTCCAGGCCCCTGATCATCCTTGTAGCCCTGCGCTGGACTCTCTCCAGCAGCTCCACATCCCTCTTGTACTGGGGAGCCCAGAACTGGACACAGTACTCAAGGTATTTGAGCCAAAGGTGTCAAAAGAAATCACACCTGTACTTACACGTGTTCTTGCACCTGTGCCTTGTACAGTATAGTTCAGAAATGCTGAGGAATCACAATCTAGTCAAACCCAACTGTAATCATTTAGTGGTTTATATGAAGTGCATAGAATTGCATCTGCAAGTTTCCAGAGTTCACAGCATGGCTTTTATGCCACTTCTCCCTCATCAGGAAGTGAGAAGAAAATTAAGGTCTGTTTTTTAATGAGAATCCTGTTTCAATATCACAAAAAAAATCTTTTAAGCAGAAGATTACCGCTTCCAGCAAGGCTCCTCATCTAATCCTAAAGTGTTAAGCAAACTAGCAAATGCTACCATCTAGCAAATGAACTTTCAAAAGTAGGTCAGGATAATGCTACAATAGAGCAGAAAGGAAAAATAGAGGAAGGCTTCATGTACTAAGGTTTTACTTTAAGTGGTGATCTCTCTTTTCTTCTCATGTATGAAGTTTTAAAAATATAGACTTAAGCTATCTTGGCTTCTTCACCTGGTGAATGATTGCAGTCTAATTTCTAGGAAACCAAAGAGCTGGTTTGGTATTATTATTTACACTGGGTGGGACTTGCACTGAACACTAACAGTATGCCAGTCTGGCATGCTGTCTGGGACTGAAGAATTTAAACTTGCTGCTCTTTTTGTGTGTGCATGTGTGTGATAAAAATCCAAGAAAATTCCTCAATTCAGTGGGTAAGGGCAGATCACTGCTTTACAGCTGGAGCCTAATCATGACTCGATTAAATACTGAGCTTTTGCTCAGTGCAGCCTTAATGACCAAGTTACTCATATCACCTGGTTCATAAGAAATGTTAAATGCGTGTCCAGTGGTTGTTGCTGGGTCACCTGTTTTTCCATGCATAGAAAACAAACAGGTAAAGCATAAAGCATGTGTGTAGTTCAGAATATTATTGGTGGTTGTATAGGACTGTTTGCTGCTGGCTTCAGTAGTCTTACTCCTAGATGATCTTCTGCAAGAGCTGTAATCTTTTGTCTCCTTCCCCATATTTCTCCACCCTTCTCCAGAAGTTCTTATTTATGGCTTTCTTCTGAAAAACTTCTTTCTCATATATTCTTCATCCCTAAATTCTTCTTGTGCTGAGCGGGTCTCTGTTTGCAATTGTATGCAGAGTTAAGTTTGTGGGTAGAAAGTACTTTTTATCCCTTTTTATGTGTGCAGAAATGATGTGTTTTGATAGGATGCCTTTCGCATGTACTGAGACTCTGCTTTGTTTACTTCTAAATGTACTGTAATCCTTTAACTACAGCCTTGATGAACGCTGTCTGTGCTCTCTCCCCAGTTGTAGGTCAGTTATCTGCTGCACTTTCTGTGATGGTTGCTGGCTTCTCTGAAATGCACAGAAAACGTTTTCCTCAGGTGGAACAGACTCTTTCCAAGGAGGTTCTCCTGGTTTCCTCCATGCCTTGTTTCCACTTAGCTCCTCAGTACATTTTACTTGGAGTGGCTGAAGCCTTGGTAACTCCCTCCTGTAAGTAATATCTAACAGACTAAAGTGAAAGCATCCTAACTTGCACAGAATGGTATCCACTTCCTAAAAGTAGTTAAACGATAATCTGATGTCTTATCTTTGGCTGTTTTCCACAGGATTAATGAGCAGATCTATGCTTTACCTGCATCAAAGGAGCAGGTCTTGTTGGCTGTAATACATGATGACAGTGATGTCCTAAATTATGTAGAACATGAAACATCCTGGTTATATGACCTGGCTCACTAATCCACCATTCAGCAGGGAAGGAGATAATCAGGTCAGGGGAGTTCTGGGCACAGATGCCCAGTTGACAGCAGTTAATGTTGAATGTACTTCCTGCAGGAGGCTGGACCTGATGGACTCAAGGTCCATCACCACCTGAGGTCCTTTCTAACCTGATCTTTTCTTTAGTCAAAACACCAAAAAAATGTAGGCACATTCTTGAATGTGAGTCTGAACCTTCTGTCCCTTCCATAATTTACCTTTCCACTTCACTAGTGGCATGAGACTTACTCTCTGATGAGGAATACCCAATGTGTTTACCTGCATTTTTACCTTTTAGAGCTTAAAAATGTTAATTTTAGAAAAATAATCAAATCAATGTTCATTTAAAGAAACAGATAAAGTAGCTGACTAGCTGATTCTACTGGCACTTTATTCTATAGGTTGAGTGTCTGTCATTCCAGTACAACTCCAGAATTGTTCAGGTATTTAAGAGCTGGAAATAACTTCAGTGTCTCAACTTTCATTCTTACAGTCTGAGGCTACTAAGAGCTGTTGGTCATGGTCTGTCACAAAAAGGTCATTTTCCCTAGTTTTAAATACTTAGCACTTTCATTATGCCTCTTCATATGATAGCTCTCAAGTACTTAGCTGAGCCAGGTTTCTAGGCAGTTTATGTGGTTTCTAGGTTACAGGCTAAGTGTAATGGAAAGCTGTGGCCATGTCTGTTTAGCTTAACAAAAACAAAAGAAAAAGGTTAAGAGGTGGCTTTCTTACAACCTTCCTTTTTCTTTTCTTTTTGTTAAGAGGTGGCTTTCTTACAACCTTCTTATGCTTCTGCATTAGAAGAATATGTCTGATAGAATAAGGCTCTTCAGCACTCTGAGACATGATGAAAGTTCACTGACTGGAAGATGGCATTAGCCTTTAGAAAAGAAAGCTCAACTTTGTTTGCTTGAAGAAGGATTATATTTAGAATACCTGAGAGAGTCATTATTTTAATGTGTCAAATAATGGAAAAGACTCTCTTCAAAACGTCTTATTAAGAGCTGTACTAACAGGCATGATTCAAGAACCCAAGAAGGTGAGGCTAAGCTTGAGTGTGATTTGCATGTAGAGAACTAAAAGTAGCTATAAAAAAAAGCACAGGTTCCTGCAATAATCATTGGAGATCTTGGTCTCCATTTTCCCACATGTTGGTGTCTGGAGCCCTTTGTGTTTGAGTATCTAAGGCATATGCCCCTATATGCAGGGCAGAGAGGTCACTCATAGCTCTGCAAGGTGCCTGCTTGGCTTCCAACTGCTGCTGTAGAAGAGGGTGGTGCTCCCATAGGTCCTGCATCCTGTCGGTCAATACAGATGCCCAGCATTGCTCAAAATTATTTAGACCGCTGAACTCCAGGTCTAGGTTTCCTCTTCAGATTGAACTGATTGCTGATCAGGAATGAGTCAGTGAATCTTCATCATCTGTGAAAACACTTAGGTGTTTAAACCTAAACATTTAGATATCTAAACAGTTGTTTCAACTTGCTGACGTTCTGCTGTCTGTTAGGCAGAAGGTCAAGTTAAATTATCATCATAATTTACTTGACCAGAAAGTACATAATGTGAGTTGAACACAGAAATCTCAACGTATGTTAGAGGGAAGAGAAACAATCTCATTTCTGCATTGGTTGGTTATAAGAGCTGCATTTGACCTATTGAACTCTTGATCTACTTTTAGGCTCTGATACTTACAGCTGTATTTATACAGTATATTTCATTGTATCTTTGCTTGAATTCTTACAGAATCACCTGCTTCAGGTGGTAGAAACCTCTCAAAATAATTAACAGCAGCATTTAACATTTCTCGGGCACTGAACGAAGCCTTATTTAAAAAATATAATGACTGCTCCACCCACAATGTTACTATGGAATTGAAGGTCAATATTAGAATGCACAGTCCTTGACAGCTTGAACTCTAGCTTGCTTTAAAGAAGGAAATTACTCCTTAAAAGACTAGTGCTTACAGATTTTTTTTTTATTTCAGTGGGATATTAGCAGACATAGGCCCACGCAATGCATGAATGTGTGGGTGAAGAGAAGCCACCCTACCAACCCCAGCAGGTTTGTTAACACTGCTGGTGAACAGGTGACCTGATAGTGTCACTGCTTTGCCCTACAAAGGGTTAGCAGATTTGCAGTGTCTGTTAAAGCATTGCAAAAATGTTCTTTGCCTATCAAAGTGAAATAAGAAGCCTTGTAACAAACAGCTCTCTTAGTTAAAGGATATATTGGGGATCACTTCACCCACCAGTGAAATGCAGTAATCTCCAGGGTGAAATTCAGCAGCTGTTTAATAGATCACAGCAGCAATTTGGGATAAGAGATGGAGTATGCAGTTGAAACAGCAGAGGTAATTTAGGTAAGTAGGATGCAATTACCCAGGCGGAATTTGGCCAATGTGCACACTTTGCACCCCCGTTCTTAGAAAGAAATATACATATATTGAGTCCTTAGTGATGCAGGGGAGCTAGGCACTGCCTGTATAACATTTCAGACTTCGCAATGCTTCAAACTGTGCTGTTCCATTTACAGTGTGTTCTTCTCCTTTCTATTACTGCCTGGCTTTTGGTTTGTACAGTGAATGAGGGACAAAAACAGAGTGACTTTTTTTTTTCTTATTTCTTTATTATGATTCCAAAGCCCTCATTTGGATCTCCAGGTTAAAAAGCATGGGAGATGGTTGTTGCAGATTGACTGGTATTCAGTGATGCTTCATGTGGTCGGTATTCCAGTGGGATTCTCTACTTTCTCAGCATGGAGGTCATTCAAAGTCTGCAGACTGGGAGATGCTGCAGCTTGGAGAAGTCATGTGGATGAGAGCTAAAGACGCAAGATTAGGAAAAGCAGGCTTTGATTACTTGAGAAAGTAACACAGAAAACAGCACATGGGTTGGTTAAATTACAACTAGTAGGATTACACTTATTGCTGCTTTAAGCATAGCTTCATTTTTGTTTTTTCCTGTGTTCTTGCTTTTTCTGGTTTAGTCTTCTGGCAAGGAAGTGGAGACAACCAGTCTTCAGTATTAGATGGTGATTTTTTGAGGGTTGCTTTCTGGGAAAGAGGAATGTTGTCCAGACGGAAGCAGATTAAGGCAGTGTTCTAAACTTCAGAAGTATTCATTAGTGGCCTTGATGCACAGAATTTGGCATATGAGCTCCCGCTGTCCTGCAGTTGTTAAACATCACATCTGCTTTCTTCACACTTCATGGCTACAGTCTTTTTCTTGTCTTGTCATGCCTGAGGTTTTAAAAGGTGAAGGCAACTGCCTGGATAGAAGAATATTACATATTTGTGGACTATAACTGGTTTTATGTAGGATGTTTTATGTAGGTTTTATTTTTACTGAGGTTCATTTAAATAGTTTAGAGAATTTGTTGTTAACAAGGTGCATGCTAACAAGCGTGATTACCCTTCTGCAGCAAGTATGTTATATATTTAAAACATTCGGCTTTTCTTTTCCCTATAATGTCTTCTGCCAAGCCTACCTCTAAAATAAATAATAATAATAATGGGACTATATCCGTTTTCTTTCTTAAGGTTCCTTACTGTCATTCCGGCTTGTGCCAGAAAGAATTCGAGGGATTTCCATGCATTTTTTAACTCTCTTCAATGGAGCTGGCTGCTTTATAGGAGCTTTCATTGTCCAGACAGTCCATACAGGCACTCAAGGTAAGAATGTGCCCATGAGCTGCGTTCCTGAGCAGGTTTCTAATCCTATTGATTATTGATTTAGAAAAGAATGCAGTGGAATAAGAGAGGATGCCAAAGTTTTATTGATTTGCTTTCACAATTAAGATAGAATTAAGATAGGGAATGGACTTGCAGCTGCATTATTTCAATGGGTCCTCTTGCTTTTGATAGCTGGAGTAATTAGAGAAAGGCCTAGGGCCTGTTGTAAGAAGGCCTTGCCTCCAGTCTCTGTACTCTTCTGAAAGACAAGAAGTAGCTTTTGCCCACCAAGACGTCTAATGTGCATGCCTTATGCACGTTAATATGAAATACTCTGGATGTGAGAGCGAGCTTAATATTTTAAAGAATGAAATTGAAGGCAAAGTATGTTCTTTCTGTAAAGGAGAGGAGCTTGGATTGAGAGTTTCAAAGTAGCTATACTGTAGTTTCATTCTTTCTAGAAAAATATGGCAGTTCTCAGGGAACTTGTAGACTTTCAAAACATTTTTTTGTAGTCAATCTATTGATGAGCACATTATGTAAGCCTAAGTTACCAGTAAGGTAACTTTGAAGAGTAGTCAGTCTGATTTTCCTCTTTTTAACATTTTTATTTATTTTCTCTGCCAATAAATATTTGTTCAATACATAAAGAATATGTTTTCTAAATAAATTTAGAAAAAAACAAAGCACTGGAGTCCCTTAAGCAGAAGTCGTGAATTTGTATGTTTACATACATAAAACATAGTTGAAGCAATACTCCTAAAGATGCTTGAAGTTCAGAAGCTTTATTGTTACTGTCTTTCAGAGAGAAAAGTTTTCTTAAACAACAAAACTACTGGCTATAATGTAAGACAGTTGCAGTTACAATGGCTGCAGGATTTTGGAAATGTTCACAGCGCATCAGTTCTTCTGTATGCTGTTTATAAAGGAAAAACAGAGAAGTAAAAATATGAAAGTATGACAAGAAAGTTTATTCCATGCTCCCAAAACCTGAACAAATGTTGCCATGTTCTCTCCCATTTTGACTAAAAGTTTTTCTGGCTAAAGTACTTTTTATTTGCAAGAGGCTGTGTGGCAAAGTTTTCTGTGTAGTTTGGAAGAAGAAGAAAAGACTTAATTTATCTTTGCTTACATCAGCAAGACTGTCAGTCCTGTGCACGTTGCTGACCACACTGTAGCAGTGACTTCTGCTCAGGAAAGATGGCAATTTTGGAAGTGACAGGCTGATGTGTTTGGTGCGAGTAAGCTTTTTGAGGAAGGCCTTCTATGCAAAGCTTGAAAAGTTGTAGTGAAAATCTAGCATGCAAAAAGAAACAAAAAGAAATAAACAAAACACTTTCTGTAGCTAGAATTCTTAGATATTACTTTCTGTATTGGCATGTAAACAGTATTATTGGGTCTCACACTTTTTTCTACTAGTTTTTCTTTCTCAGTTTTTGCTGCTAGAAATAGATCAATTATTACAAGTTACCATAACTTGCACAGTACATAGCTTGTAAATAAGGAAATGCTCCTCTATATTAATTTGCATTATAATTCCAAGTCTTCAATTTGAAGATTTGGAATACTTCTATCCTCTACCTGTGTGTCTTCTGCCATACTTTGGTCATGATGATTCCAAAAAAAAAAAAAAAAAAGGTAGGCTCAGGGTCAGACTTGTGAAGTTGGGTATAGGCTATTTAAACAAAAAAAGTGGTTTATGGCTTGTCTTTTTGTGGGATGTGTTTTTTGTTTGGTTTTGGTTTTCCTCATTTGAAAGGAAACACTTTATGCAAAATTCTCTTGTTATGTGTTACAGTGTTTCATATTAGAGAAAGAACATATTTGTTTTCAAATGGTATTCTTGTGATTTGGGGGAAAAATCAGCAACTTAATCCTATTTTAACTGATAAAACCAGGTGGTTACCTATTGAACCTTCTAAAAATGACAGTACTTCAGAGGATAGAATGGTGACATCTCTTAGGCAGTGGCTCATATTAAGCTCTCATCGCTCATTTTTGTTTCTTTTTTAACTCTAAGGAGCTTGTAAAGCACTCAGTATCCAAACAATTTATGGAACTGAGGGGAAAGCAAACCAACCTTAACTGTTTATGGGAGAAGCTTCTTATTTTTGTTTTGTTTTTTAGTTTAGCTTTTTATTATTATTTGGTTTTAGCCCCTCCCTTAGAAGCTAAATTCTCTTCAATTAGACCTGATGATCAAAGTTCCTTTGGTTTTGCTGAAACAAGAATACCTAAGCAATGCTTTTGGGAAATACAACAAGGTTCAGTGTGTGGCTGTCTGTCGATGGTGCTTTTGGTGTGTTCTGAGAATCCTGTTTGTCCAGTACTTAAGCCAAGACTATTTCTGGTTCTCCCAGCTCTATGCAATGGGACCATAATTATCCTGAAGTAAATTCAGGATACACTAAAGTAGACCCTCCAATGTCCGTTGTGAAGTGCTGAAGCACTGAGGGTGTTGACGAAATTATTTAAACCACTTTGTATCCCGTTTCTTGTCACTAGCTTAAATTTTGTTTTTACTTTTTTTTTCTTTATTGGCAAAGTTGATCAGATATCAGTCACACTCTAAGCTGCATTAATCACTCTTAACGCATCTATGGAGGATGGTGTGAATATGATAAAATAAGACTTTTTTGAAATCTGACGAGTGCAAACAGATGATGGGTGACAGTGATATTTTCGGTACAAGCTGGGAAACTGCTTTCTTTTAGGTTTTACCTCTCCTAACATTTTAACTGAAGAAGATGCAATGCAAAACCTGTCCTCCTGTGCCAATCATTTCAGAACATGTTTCTCTAAAAATATTAATGTAAATATGTAAGGAAGAAGAAAAAAAAAATCAGATTGAGGTTTTCATGCTGGTTTTCAGGGAAATAGTGGGGAGTGTGTGGTTTTTTTTTTTTTTTTTCCAAAGATGATAAAGCTAAAGGATATTTCTTGCAGTCCAGATGGTAGTGTCCACCAGTGTCTACTTAGCTAATAAGGATTAGAGGCAGGCTGGTACTTCTAGTTTGAAGATGACTAAACACTTATATATCCTTTAACTTGCTGAAGTGACTGAAGGAGATACAATCCTTTGCTAAGGTCTGAATTGATTTTTCTAACTGTGGCCTATAGTTGCAGGTTTAGCTATAAAATGTGAGATTTGTACAAATAAGCTTACCTGTATAATGTTCTTCCTGTACATACCTATTTACCCCAGGGTAAAATATTATGGTATTATCTAGGTAACAGTAAGCAAACTGAATATTAACCTGTGCAACTTTGGGCTTCATTTTGTATCTCTTGAGAACTCTAAGGATGTCATCACAATAATATATATCTTGTGTCCTGCTATATGTACAAATATTGGCTTACAGTCCTTTCCACACCCTCTTATATGGACAGGGTCACTATATTCTGCCATTGTCAATCATACTGCAGGAAAGTGCCTGTACCTTTGTGTGGATTGCTGCCTCACGTATCTTTTTGTCCGTGTTTGTAGGCTCAAGTGTGTGTGTTTTTTTTTTTTTTTTTTTCTGGACATTTTATAATATTGCTCCTTCTCATACAACCTGAGCATTTTTTGATGGGACTGCACAGTATCAGCAGAAGTTCACCCAATGCCTGGTTTTGGCAGTGTGTGGCAGCAAGGTGAAGGAAGACCTAAGCTGTTCCTGGTCTTTGTCTCCTAATCTGTTCTAAATTTGCCATGAAAAGCACAGCCAATTCACCTCTAAGCAAAAAGGCTTTCTAAAAGTTCTTTAAAATGTACACAGCTAAAGGAAATTTCTGATTCCCTGTGGTGATTCATGCAGTATTTCCATTGTTGGAATAAAAATGGAAATCAGGAGCTTGTTTTAGAAAGTTAATTCCCAGTGAGCAATTATCTGTGTGACAAACCAAGCTTGTAATTGGCACTTCCGTTGGCAATCTCCATAGCAAAGGAAAGGATTGACAGAACCCAAAGGCGGTGTCTTTTGGGGAAAACTGAATTGTTAGCATATTGCATGCTGATTAAAGGATGAGAAAGTTTGGAACTCTTCAAAACCGTAGTGCCCAGGGCATCTTACTCCATCAAAACCAAATTGGCCTGATAAGTTCCTTGTGGTCATGACTGAAAGTTAAAACCTGAAAATGTGAACCAAACCCAAAGATGCTGGAGTCTGCAGTCAGCTTGCCTCGCAGTGGGATAAGGCATTAAAGTGTCTAAAGGGAGTTTCACTGCCCGATATCTGTGGTTTTGTTGAAGTAACCAGTGGCTGCTATCCTATAAACCTCAATACAAAAGGATTCTCTGTGCCAGAAATGTAAATAGAAGGAAACATAGTTCATGCTGTTCCTACTTCAATGGAAAATTCCAACTTCCATTTAAAAAGAAAAAAGTGAGACCTATATATATGTATATATATGTATATATGTATTTTTTCTCCAAAACTAGGAAATGATTAAGTGAATCTTTTCTGTACCCATTCATGGAAATACATTTTTGACAATAGGAGAAGAATCTGGATATCTTCAGCACTGCTGTCACCCTTGTGTCTGTAGAGAAAGGTGCGTCCACATGACATCGCTATCCCTTCCAGAAGAGAAAGAAGAATTTCTGCCTTTTGCTTTCACTAGGGCAGTAATCTAGATATAAAGTTGGAATCTTACAGTGCCCACTAATTCTGGTTTAAATACATCTTTGCTTGCTGCCTATGCTGTTGCTGAACTGTAATACCACTTTTTAAGAGACTTTATATGATTGTCCCGGTTTTAATACTTAAATACTGACAATTTAAGAAAAAAAAAAAAAAAAAGAGGAAACAGAACAATGATCTTTGACCTAGGTCGTGCAGGAAGCTGGTGGTAGAAGTGGGGAGTAGAGGCCAGATCTCCAGATTCCCGGGCTAGCATTTCATCTTGATGAAATCAACAGTTCCCACTTTCAGTGCTTGAATATGGTGTCCTTCTTCACAGTAAGCCAGTTTCAAAGGTCTGTTTTACTCTCTTCTCTTAAAAGCTCTTAGTACAGAGCTGTGTTAGTTTTTTCATTGTTGTTGGTTTGGGGTTTTTTTAAAGTATGTATTTTCTGTTAAGATCCCATTGCAAACAGAGTCCCATTATGAAACTCCTGCTGCTCCTGTAGTTAGACCAGCCGATGTAAATAATCCAACAGACAGTATGAACTCTGCTTTGACAAGTTGTAGTAGAGCCCCGTGCTTGCTTTGTCTTTCACCAGATACACTCCTTCTCTCTCCTTGAGTTCTATTGGCCACTGGGGGATGTAAAATGAAAAGCTACCTGATTGTGAATTATGACAGTAAAAGTTTATAAGCTACTAAAATGAAGTTATAGTACCTAGGAGCTCAGTCAACTGACAATGTTAAATGATACGTTTTAAGACCCTCTCTGAGATAATGCTGCAAAAGGAATGGCACATGCAGAGGTGAAGTGCTGCTGTTCAGCGACAGGCAGCAAGGTAACGCGGCACAGAACAAACTGCGGAGGAGTTGAGGAAAACCACTGTGCACTTGTTCCCTGTTAATCCTAGGAGAGCTAAAGGTAACACTCTGAAATGTGTTTACAACTCTGAGCTGTGGAGGAAAAAAGAAAAATGTAAATATCTTGGGGGTAATCCTTTGACTGGAGGCCCTCCCGAGCTGTGAAATTGTTTCTCCTCTTTAGATTTAATCAAAAATTCTTAAAGGGCTAAGAATAGCAATGGGTGGCACTTGTGGTCAATTAACGATCAGTTAAGACTATACAGCCTCTGTACCACAGTTTGTACCATACAGCCTTGCCAAAGAAGGCTATTTTTCCTACCCTTCTTTTCAGCCCATCCAAATGGCGAGTAGGTCCTATAACTACTAGTAACTGTATTCAGATGGGGGAGGATTTGATGTGGAAGTTTCAGGGAGCAAAGTGCTCTGGGGCTCATCTATATTAGTATTTTAGTTCACACCAGAAATGTTCAGGAGGTTCAATTCTAAGGCATATCTCTGAATATTTGTATATCAATGTGCATGATGATCACCATATGATGCAAAAAAAGTATGTTCCTTCTGGATGAAACTCAACAAATCAAAACCTCGTGGCTGATGTGTTCTAGCTGTTAGTGGGAACCAGTCTGATGTAAAAGCCCTTCAGTAGCATATTAGTGTGGACAGTGGGTTCTGAGCACCATCCTTTTCATGCTGCATGCTTGCACTTCACTGCTTTTCTGTATAGCCTATCTTTCTGTCTTCAAGTTGATACACAAGCTGTGTTCTTAAATAGTATAGGAGCTTGTTGTCTCACTCTCAAAATATCGCAGTATACTCTAATTTCTTTTTATCTTTGGTTTTATGTGTTTGCTCTGGTAGTTTATGGTACTTCAAGTACTGAGTCTTCAGATGCAGAGATACTGGGACTTGTTTTTCTTTTAAGAATCTTGATTTCCATAGTTATTTATCATCTAATCTCATTGTTTATGAGAGAGTTTGCAGTTTTTGTTATGAGGGTTTGCAGTGGTCCATGCTGAAAGCAGTAGAGTGGCAATCTGAAGCACAAAGGAACATAGACATGAAAGATTCTGGTTATCTATGGGTGGTGATGTCCTCCACTTAGTGGAGTTTAAGCTGCTAAAATTTCTTGGATGCTATGTTGGCAAAAGCTTTGGTAGCAAAATGTCTGTGATTCTTAAAAAGGAATGCAGTGTTCAAGATAATGATTAAGAAACATAAAATAAGGGATAAAATAAGATGCTCAAGGGAGCATCTTTGTAATTCGGTACCATTCAAGGGACTGGAAAAAAAATTAAGAAAAATAATAAAAGCATGAAGAGAGAGTGAAAAAGTATTTCTATGGGTGACACTAATTCTAGCTCTTCCTAAAATTTATGCTTTTGACATTCATCTGCTTATGTGCACAGGATAATGCAGAAGTCTATATGAATAGTCGTGGGTGTTCAAAGCACCTGCTGTTGTCGTCTTGCACAAATTTATCTTCATGTCTTTCATGTGAACCATGTCTTATCCTTCAAGGTAAACCAATTCTGCTTTAAATATTTGTTCTACCAGGCACCTGGTTTCCACATTTGTTGCATGAAGGTAAATTAGAGGGATTCTTCTTCTTCTTGGCTTCCTTAATGATGGCAAACACCCTGGGGATGTGGACCATTGCACACAGGTACGTGTGAGAAATGAAAGTTGGTTTCCTTTGCAGACATGGAAAGAAATTCCTGTACAACCTGTAAGCTAGTGTATAATGAAGAATTGGTATGATAGATTGACATTATCATTCAGGTTCTAAGCTTCACTATTTTTCTTCTGCCTTAAAAAGAGAATTTAAAAATAAACTAAAAAAAAAAAGAAAACCTGATGTGTAATTAGCCTTAAATATTTAAGGAGTTTTATTAATATGAAAAAGTCTTGAAGGAAGAAGATTTTTCAGAAGTCCATAAATATGCTGATGTGGAACTAAGACCATAGCACCAAAATTTCTTAGTCATGGATGAACTCCACTCCATGGAATGAACTCAATTGCTATTGTCTCCAAGAGCATAAATCTCAATCATAGGAGAATGGATGAAGGGATGGAGTGTCATCCCATACATTAATTCC